CAAATACTGTAAATCACTTTTTATTCGCGAGAACTTTATTTTCGCGTAATTACGCGAGGCAGTGTGCTCGCGAAAATTTATTAATTCTCAGGATTATATAGAGCAATAACCAAAATTCGTGAAAATTTTGTCTCGCTAATCAAAAGTCAGTGACTATCTCGCGAAAATAAGGTGTCGCGAAAATTTAGTGATCTACATTAAACAGAAGAGAGCAAAACATGGCGCCTTCGAAACACAACAGGTGGGGTCAGGTACCTAGGAGGAGTGATCATCCCCTCTCAACGACCAGTTCCCCTCTGTATTGTTCCGGCAGAGCGAGTAAACATTCAAATTTAAAAAAAAAGTTTATAAGTTTGTCATCGACGCCTATAGTCAGTTAAACAGCCAAATATAAAACATGTATGGCAAACTTTATATTAATAAAGTGTCTTTCATTTTAAGTTCAAGTGGATTCTGTCTATATCGAGTCGACGTATGAATGAAAGTTACTGATAGTTGAAATCATTCAGAGACCCGTTTCCGTATTCTTCATAGGCAGATTGATGAAAGTTTCTACATAGAAAGACAAACAATCTTACTGTGGCCTTTAATTTGATATTGTAATGCAGGAATGACTTGTCAATAAAATATTCATCTGCATTCTGTTGTTGACTCAATATATTCGGGTAATCAAGAAGTAAAACACAATAGAGTCTACCACATCAGTTTCATATTTGGATATTTTAGTCAGCCAGTATCTATTACAAAAAAATCCTGTATAACCAGCAGAAAATGTTTATATCTTCCAAAAGATCCGGTAGCCAAGAGCATAATCGAAGTATGATCAAATTTTAAAGCGGAACAGATTACTTAAATTACTAACAAATAAGATGTTTTATTGGGAATTTCAAAAACTTATTTAAAGCCCGACTTTCTCAGAATTTATAATCTTCAGAATTTTTCTTGCAGAAACAATATTTCGTAGAAATTTGACTAAAATGTTTCATACCGATAGAAAGAAATTTTTCCAACACATCTTACTACGGATTAATTTGTTATCTGATGCAAAGGTTCATGCCATCCAAATAATTTTTGGCAGCATAAAATAACACTCAAGTAAAGATAATTTCCTCGTCAAGTTAAGAAACCTTTTTTGTTTTGTCTTAGCAAAATATTCTATCAGAGTTTGTTGTAAAATATGTCGACAAGACGATTATACAAGATTAATATTTCAGAGTTTACTGTATACAACAATGTTCAAAAAACAAGTTTACGACGAGGGTTATTCGGAAAGTTCGTGGACTCCTGTCATATTTTTTTTATTTAACGACATATGCTATCCAAAGGTAAACATACTTTAACAGTTTATTCAAATGATTTGTATAATTGTTTTTAGATTATTATAATTTATCTCAAACATATCTAGAATTAAAAATTGCAAAAATCGGATTGCGCAGCAGGTCAAAATTTTGTAATTCACGAACAACACACAAAGTATCTATAATGTCTGTAGTCATATTCTCTGTAAAATGGAGCAAGCAAAAACGAAAACAATCTTTTAAGAACTGTTAAATTGATTCATATTCCAAATTATGGCTTAATATTTTGCTTCGTTGAAAAGAAATCAAATTGAGAAGATAGGTAGTTCTCATTGAAAGCGACAAAAATAATGACCTTGTTGAACGTCACAGAGCAGCAGGTAACGATACAATTTTGTGTTATACTCGAGATTTTTTAAAATGTTAAAGGAATAAAAAATGTCAGAAGTAAATCGTCCGTGTGTTTATAAATGGAACAAGCTGTATTTGAATGACAGACACTCTAAATCGGACTTATGGACTTCTTCTCAATGGGCTGTGAAATCTGTGAAAAAAAACATAGAACTATATAGGAAAAATCTTTGAAAATCTTCTTTTCAAGAACCACTGGGCCAGAAAAGCTGAAACTTATGTGGAAGCATCCTGGGATGGTGTAAAATGGGGGTAGGGCGGGGCTACTGGGGAATAAAGTTTTACATAGAAATATATAGGAAAAATCTTTGAAAAACTTTTAAAATTTGGAACGTCACAATGGAAAGACATAGAAATATATAGCGAAAATCTTCAGAGTTGCTGATCTTGTTATAATTAGTACATAGAAATATATAGGAACATTCTTTGAAAATCTTCTTCTGAAGAACCACTGGGCCAGAAAAGCTGAAATTTATGTGCACATCGAAACATCCTGGGGTATTGTAGATTTCAAAATGTCTAAATCATGATCAGTGGGGTAGGTTGAGGTCGCAATATGTATTAAAAGGGGGAAATCTGGTAAAGAAAAGAATGGTCAAAGCTTCTCAGGTGAGCGATATGGCCCATGGGCCTCTTGTTTAAAACGTTAAAGGAATAAAAAATATGTCAGAAGTAATTCGTCCGAGTGTTTATAAATGGAACAAGCTGTATTTGAATGACAGACACTCTAAATCGGACTTATGGACAATCTGTGAAATCTGTAGAAAAAAAACAGTTTATCTGGTAAAATCTAAACAAAAACTTTTAAAATTTGTCATGGAAAGACATATTTGCTGAATAATTAGTGCATGATAAGTAAATAACGAAGATTTTTTCGAATTTGCATAAAAATGCATTTGTCTCCCTTTGAGAGGTACAGTCATACTATCAAAAGTGAGTGAAAGAGATTTTAATTTTTTTGTTTTGGTGTATTTAATTACACATTCTAGACACTGATGATATCATCTTTATGTAAAAGACCAATAAAATATAAAGAAAAAAAATCACATTATCTTTACTTCTTGGTAATCAAAATAGAAAGGCATATCTACTCATTGTACATAAAAGTTTTCAACATGGTCTGTAGAAACCGTTTAAGAACATTCAGATTAAATTATTGAATATTCTAATTGTTAGAAAGCTAAAAAGACAAAGTTCGGCTATCCTCGGGGCTGACTAATGGACGTAAACAAGGCCTTATCATTCTAGCAGTCTTCACGTGATGATGGGTCTAATGTAAGGTAAATAAACTGAATAATAAGATATCAAGGAATATTGATCGCTGTGAATCTCCGTCCAGCGACGAAAATGATTCAAACACGACAGACTCCCCTTCTTCTTCTAGAGAACATGCTTATTGGAACAGAAAAACAAGGCAAGGTCAACGCTCTTCCTAATAAAGGACATTTTATGGTTAATTAGAGGGTCTTTTAGACTGGCAATAGCATTAATCACATAAAGAGGCTCCTCAGTCAGACATTAAACATCCTCTCTCTTTTTTACTACCGGTGTCAAAAATGTTCATGGATTTTAAGATGAAACATATGGAGATAAAAAACAGTATTCCAGATCAAAAGTCCATAAAACAATACAAAATAGGAGCCTAGCAAACACGAACCTCAAAAACATCGGAGGTGGGATCAGGTGCCATGGAGGAGTGAGCATCCCCTGCCGATCGGTCACACCCACATTTGCTCCTTGTCATGATCGGGAAATAACGGAAAAAATCCGTCGTCAATTCAATATATAAATAATGGATAAACAATAAGTATGAAAAACGTCAGTCAGCTTTTGACTCAATGATAAATTGTAATTGCTGACAAGGTAATTGAATCAACCATAGAAATTACGAAATTATGACTTTAAACGAGTCTGCTGCAATTCTTGTTTCATCAACTTGTTTTGTCAATAATTTTCCTTGTTGTAGAAATTGTTCATACGTAGAGCATGCTCTGGCGTATCTTATCAACTGAGATATGTAAACTTATGCAAGTGATGAAGGTATATTGCTGCATAAGTAAGAGAAGTTGACGATAAAAAGTTGAAGTCATCACGTTTATCATAGAGCTTGGTTGTTAGATTACCAATAACGTCTTTTTCAAGTTAAATACTGTAGAAGTACTTTTTTTCCGCGTGGTATTAATTTACGCTATGTACGCGGTCACAAATTTTACGCGGAAATTTGTCCAAGCGTACTTAATATAAATGTAAGGCATATGGCAATGGTCTAGGAAATCCGTGTAATTTTCTACACACGGATTAAACAGAAATTGAGATTCCGCGGAATTATGACCCCGTGGAAAAAAGTACGTCTACAGTATCTAAAAAAACCCAGATATGTCAGGCCCTGTGGTATCTTTTATCTCAAGCTCACCTGGATATATCGTATCGACATCAGAATAGAAATCAACATTGTTAATTAACAGTACATCGTCGATATATCTAAATGTTGAGTTGAAGGCCACAGCGAGTGTTTTTCTTCTTTTCACGCATAAGATTTTGCAAAAATTCTGCTTCGTATGAATACAAAAATATGTCTGCTTATAACGCAGCGCAACTGGTATCCATGGGAATTCCAAAAGGTTGTTGGAAGACCTGGTCTCCAAAAACAACATAGATATTGTCAATCAGAAATTCAATCATAATTTTGATGTCGACTTCAGAGTACCTGTGTGTACAATCAGAATGCTTTTTAACAAAATAATTTTGCAAATGACCAATGACAAAGTAAGTAAATTTTCGAGTTCCATTTTTATTCAAGAAACAGCTGTCAATGATATCGAAAAAGCCTGGTCTTTAATTTATCCTTGGGAATGGTTGTGTATAAAGTTAAAAAGTCGTACGTTTTTAAGCTGTTGATTTTGATAAAATCTTGTGATTTCAAATTGTCTAAAACTTCACTGGAATTTTTAAGTATAAACATCTGATTTACACCACCTCTTGAATATATTGTTGCGCAGTACTCTTGAAGTTTCTCCTTCACTACTGTTAATTTCTTAGTGAGGCATAAAGAAAGAGGCTTGGTTGAACATTTACTGGAGCCCGCTATGTATTTTTGTTTATAAGGATTCTTATGAAAATTCGGAATCCAATATATACATGGTAGTTCAAATTCATTTTGGATCTTTTTTATATTAAAAATTTTAAAAACTGTCATATGATTTTGAAGAATTTCTGCCTTAGAAAGAGAACTACATGTATGAGTTTTGGTAGGATTACCACTTGTAGAATTAAAACCAAGTTCTTTTAAAATACAATTTATATAATGAGTTTAATTCAAAAACAATACCTTTTTCTGAGAGGTGAACATGTAATCATAACGTTCTTGAGTTTATCAAATATACATTGAAAATACAAAAAATGTACCACAATGGCTGTGAAGAAATATATGCAAGAGAATAAAATTGTTATAATTATACAGCTGAATAGCCTATTCGTAAAAACATACCCCAAAAACTTCAGACGTAAAAACGTTACTATGATAATTATCAAAAACAGCAAAAAGCCGAAAAAAGTCTTCACCTTCCACCTGAATGTAAATCAGCATCGATTCTCCCCGTTTCCTTTGGCCATTTACATCGATTAATTGCTGTTGTGTCGTGGGGATTAGGGGATCCCTGATTTACTTCTCCCCCATAGGCCAAATTCTACTTCAATTGCTACAAGCCATCAGCATTGAAGATAACTAATAATTGCCGAAAGCCCTTATCAAGGCAAATGATGTCATTTTCATCGCATTAGTATTCAAAAATCACAGTTGGTTTGCCGACGTTCCATACCAAATATTCCAGTGCTTTGATTTCCATGAAAACATCCGTTATATTGGAGCAGAGTTCTCAGCTCTGTTCCGCCACAGAACCATACATACTGAGTTCGGACATCTGAGAAAAGTTCTGTACAAGCTTGCTGGAGACAGTCCCCTCTTTTTTGTAATTGACTACCATACAGCTTTGCGATGAGTCTATGAAACACACATAATGCATTGGCAATTTAAAATAGAAAGGATTATCTTTTAATTAAAGGTTTTTAAGTTAAAACTCATATCTTATGTATTCAGTATAAATAAGCTAGTTGAAAGTCGACTTTATTTAATTTTCACTTCTTGAATATCGCCAATTTTAGAAATGAAGACATAGAATTGAAAAAATAATATCTCCCCATATTGAGTCAAGGTGATGTAATCGCAATTTTGAAATAAAAAATACTTGAAAAATAATTTTAAAATCTATTCTGTACTAAATATGTACATTCTAATAGCGCCCTTGAAACAGAATTATTATTTTGTGCGTCTTATGAGTACAATTCATTGGAATTGTAAGAACAATACAGACGAAAATAGAGAAATTCTCAACGATTGTTACTAAAACTAACCAGAAGTCATGCTTTTCCGTCTTGCCCCTGGTAGTGACGTCACCGGCGCCTTTATTTTCAGTTTTAAATCAGTACAGGTCAGTCGTCTGTATACCTGAAATATAAGTTCGAAATGAAACATGGAAAATTAAATTTATTAACTCTCTCTATATCTCTATGCATATCGTTATTTTTTGTTACAAGGCCCCAATCTAAATGAATTTTAAAATCTATAAGATTGACCTTGGTATGTCGACACTGAAATCGTTAGATAGATAACTATTCCGGATTTTTTTATTTGGATACGGCTATTTCAGACTCTAACTTTACATGACGCCATATGTAATTTACATTACAAACCAAAGCCCAAACTGTGCTAGGTTTAATCTACTATTATCTGCAATATCCTTTAAATCAAGGTTAGTTAATTTTACAGGGACAAAATTTATCAACTGGAGAAATATTCAGTAGTTTTTTTTTTTTAATTTTTAAAAGAAATCATGACTTGAGAATCGCCAAATTTGAAATAATGTATATGGCACGCCAAATTCACAAAAATGAGATAAACCTAGTTTCACATTTGATAAACTAGGTTTATTGACTGTAAACTATAGTTTACAAACCGTAAACTATAGTTAACGATTCGTTAAGTATAGTTTTCATCTGTAAAACTATATTTAACGGTTGTTAACTATAGTTTACGAATGATAATCTATTACCCCATTCATACGACATGATTTACATACCTCAGTATATTTTACATATAAGTAAATTTACTCACATGTGCAATTTTTGTCGTATGAACCGATTTACCCATATGGGAATTCTGCACAGTGGAGTAAATTTACACCTGGTCAGGACAAGGTGCAAATTAACTTTTGCATACACTTTGTAGCAAATTATTAGTTCATGTGTGTAAATTTTGTCGTATGAACACGTGGCAAATTTACTTATGTATGTATTTTGTTTTGTTTATTGCATAAATCCCCATTATGTTTTATTTCGGTTGTGTATGAATTGGCGTGTAAAATATCACTTGGTAAAATGGTGGCTAGAATGCAAAACTCTAAACAAGTAGCCATTATCTCATCCGAGATAAATTTTTCGAATTTGCTAAAGGGCATCTTGCACCTTTTCTGGCAAACCTATGTTTATTTCTCTAAAGATAGAGCTGTGGTCGCAAACAAGTGTCTTGTAGGATCAATAAGTAATGTCCTTACTATTCAAGTCGTCTCCTTGGGAATGCCCCGGAGCTATGGTAGGAACATGCATTCCATCAATTGCTCGGGCCCCGTTATCGTTCAGCTCTTGATAACTCTCTTCTACCTTTCTCTGTTTTTAATTCAGGCAAGCTACTCACATATAAGTTAATGTTACAGGAATTTCAATAAACTCGTTGAAAGTAAGCATTCGTAAGTATCCTCCTTGGCATCTGATCCCCAACATGATTGGCTAGGGGTTCATGTTAATTTCCTATCCACATATCTGTATTGTTCAAAGAATTTTGAGATCGATCACTTTTAGTTTTCTTCATCCTATTCATTCTCCTTGAAAATGCATAATCACATGACTGCCGTTTATCATACTTATTGTTAGTCTATTCTATATACATGTACACTTAATTGACGACGGATTTTCCCGTTATTTCCCGATCACGACAATGAGCACACGGCAGGTGTGACCGGTCGGCAGGGGATGCTCACTCCTCCATGGCACCTATCCCACATCTGATGTTTTAGAGGTCCGTTTTTGCTCTGCTCCTATTTTGCTCTGTTTCATGGACTTTGATATTGAAGACTGTATCTCCATATCCTTCATGTATCATATTCAAGTGGATATTTTATAATGGCCTCACACACTTGATGTACTGTAGATTTCCCAACATCAAAAAGATTCCAATCGTCCTATTCCTGTTGAAGACGTCAATCAGTAGATGGCAACAGTCACCTTTTTCTTTAAACCCAACGGCTCTTTTTCAGTCTTTAGGACCAAGGCCAAAACATTTTCCAACATTAAACAAAAAATTTAATAAATTTTCCTTTTTTGTGTGTAGATTCTTATACCATTCTTTATCCTTTTCTTTCGTACCAATAAATTAGTGGATCGGATTTCCACCCGAGTCTTTAAAGAACATTCAAAAGTTAGTCTTTTACCCAAACAGTAAGGGCATTTTTCGTAAACTTGAGCCTTAAAAAGGTCAATTCTGAATATTGGGCGACCCCAGCGGTTTGAGAAAAAGAAGTATCGACCTATATTCCGTAAATTACGGTACACTTTTCTACAAAAATTCACAATTCTTAATCTGTTCATCTCCTTATTTTATATGAAAATATGAGGATATACTAACAGTACATAAATTTCATCTGAACGCATAGCAAATTAACTTTTACTTACATGTGTAGATTTACTTATATGTAAATTTGCACACATAAGTAAATTTTCATCGTATGAATGGGGTATAAGTTTATCTGTCTGTAATGAGCGTTAACAATAGATCTTGTTGATAAACATAGATTCACGGTTGTAAACTATAGTTTACAATCGTAAACTATAGTTAAGAGCTGTTAATCAAATCGTGAAACTATATTTATCATATCGTTAACTATAGTTAACGGTTTGTAAACTATAGTTTACAAATCGTGAAACTGTATTTATCAGATAATCTATGTTTTGCAATCGCAAATGATTGTTTTCAGTGTTAAGTATAGTTTACGGTTGTGAAAGATAGATTATCGCATTAACTATGGTTTACTGTCCGTAAACTATAGTTTACAACCGATAAACCTAGTTTATCGACTGTGAAACTATGTTTAGCTCATTTTTGTGAATTTGGCGTGCCATAAATGTACATATATAAATATATTCAGAAAATAGCATGCAAAATTATCGTACGTTTTTTAAAGTCACACGGCTGGTGTGACCGGAATATGGAGATTACGAACAGAATTCAAGCTCAAAAGTCCATTAAACAATACAAAATTGGAGTAAAAAATGGACCTCCAAAATATCAGCCTTTGGATCAGTTGCAATGGAGGAGTGAGCATCTCCTGCCGACTGGTCACATCTGCCGTGTGCTCATTGTCATGATCAAGAAATTAACTGGAAAATCCGTCGATTATTTAGTGTGTATATAATTGGTCTGACAATTAGAACGAAAAACGTCAGTCAGTTTTTGACTTCAAAATGAATTGCATTTGCTGATAAGGTCATTGTATCAAACAATCAGAACTACCGAAATGATGACTTTAAATTAAATTGCGGATATTCTTGCTTCAGCAACTTGTTTGTCAATAATTCACATCGTTTTAGAAATCCTTTTTACGTAGAGCATGCTCTTGTGTATCTAATCAACTGAGATATATAAACTCCGTATCCAGGTGATTAAGGTATATTGCTGCATAAATAAGGGAAGTTGACGAATATAAAGTTCAAGTCATAATGTTTGTCATAAAGCTTGGTTGTTAGTTTACCATTAAAGTCTTTTCCAAATTAAATATTTAAATATGAAATATATGAAATTTGAAATCACAAAATTTTACCTAAACCAACAGCATAAAAACTTACGACTTTTTAACTCTATTTAAAATGTCGATAAGTTTTTATACTGTTGGTCTAAGTAAAATGTTGTGATTTCAAATTTCAAAATGTCAAAAAATTCTTTGGAATTTTAGGTATCCACATCAGATCTGATATACACCACTTCTCGAATATATTGTCACTGCTGGTAAAATGCGAATCGAGAAAATCTTGCTTTCGGACACCGGCTACTATTGGTTTACATCAATGAGGCAGTTTATGTCAACTAAACGATCAGAAATTATAGAACATTTGATTAAGACGTAATTATTAATGTTCAGTATGGTTTCATGCAGTAAAATAGCTTGTTGGTTGAATAGATATAAGGAGAAATCCAGTAACTGCTTTAGATTACACCCATTCAATGTATTTTACCAGATTATTCATATTTGCTTTTAACATGTTAAACTCAATTAACGCTACATTATTTATGTTAAATGTGATATGAGTATATACTATATGAATCATTTATGATTTCCTATTTCTTTAATGTTTCACAAGATTAAAACTTTTGATGTAATATAAAGTTTTCTGATAACATTGCGAGTATGGTTGCTGTATGTGCGACTCTTGGCACGTGTAATTGCTACGACTGGCTTCTGTTCTGTTTCATAAGGTGCGACGTTTTACTGCTGTATCATAAATGTATTGTTTTCCGAGAAATACATTTAAATTTGAAATCGACACATCAGGTAGTGCACCTTTTTTGAATTAAAACCTCAAAACATATACCTTCCATTCGAGGATTGGTTGCTTCTATCAAATATTTAAAATGTATTGCATATAACCCCCCCCCCCCCCGAAATAAATAAATTGTTTTATTATGTGAAAAAATAAAGGATTAAAAATGCAAAATTCCTTCTGGTTAGTTTATATTGGATAACATTCTTAAAATTCATGGACTTGTTTTTCTAAAATATGTTACTGGAGTATATGTTCATTCAGGCTCTATCCCAAAGTTCAATTTTAATAATTCCAGATTCATGCTGTAAGTCATCTTCGATTGACTATCTAGAACTTTCAAGTTACAAACTTTCTATGCATGCAGAAGAAACAAAAAAAAAACCTTTGAATACCCCCCTCCTCAAGGAAAAAAGATTGACCTTTCTTTAATAAGAATGAGAGTCATGACCCTACATGTTTTGAAGGGAATAGACTTTGATGCATGTAAGAGTGTTTTACTTTTATATCCCCTCCATGAATAATTTAAACCTTTGACTTGGAAAGATGGCATGGACTGGTATTAAATATTTCCGATAATTAACTTGTGTGGAATATTTTTATATCTCAACAAAATATTCTCATATTTGAATGTCATAAAGACAAGGATCTATTTATTAAACATGCAGACCTGTGACATTATTTTTCAATGTATATGTAGGAAGGATGAGGGTCGCAGGTGATTGACAATCCAACAAAAATATGTCAAATCTCGGAAGAACACAACTTGAGAACTGTAGTGTTAACTTACGGTTTCATGTTTTCATCTTTAACTATGAAGACTTAAATATAAAACCATAACGCTGCCGTTCTGCAGCT